TGTATAACTAAAATATATATATTTTTACACTAATTTTAATTTAATTTAAAAAACAAAACACCAGTTTTATGCTAAAGCTTGTAAATATTCATACCACATAAACGGAATACAAATATATATATGTATTTCTACATATATATATTTGTATAAATAATAATAAATGGAAATATATTTGATGTTGAACAAGAAGAAGAAAAGATGCGAATGAAAATTGGTAAAAAATACATTAAAGAAATGTCATTGGCGTAATACGTAAAAAAACGAAAAAATACAATTTTTTGTGAATTTGTGTCGAATGGGCAAAGCGACAACTAACTAACGGTACTCACCATGCAACGTTGCCGAATTTCAGTGCGGCAACAGCGCATGGAATATGTAATTTTTATTTGTTTTTTATTTTTTATCTAGCAGAAATTGTAAAAAAAAGAAAACCGAGAAAACAATTTGCATTTTCGAGAAGATGAAGAAGAAATGTTAAAGAAGGCCACTGCTAACATTGGACCAACACTGTGTTGTAAAATGCCAACACAAGAAAGCGCGCATAAAGCAAATCTAAAGTTGCCACAAAACAACACCAAACAAAAACATTTTTCTAGAATGCAAAAAAAAGTTAAGATAAAAAAAAAAAAAAAAAAAAAATAAAAAAAAACAAAAATAACTAAAGCAACGAATGGTAAAAAGCAGACACAATGCTGAAAATAAAAATAAACAAAATTGAATATTAAAAAAATTTGAATTTGTACAAGAGTGTTGCCAGACAGTCAGACACTTTTGGGATTTGGTGCGCTGATGCCCGTTTTATAAATAAACCAACGTGAAATCAAAAATTCAAGGAAGAGTTGCAAATATATAAATATATATAAGCAAGAATTTATATGTATTAGTAGACATGCATAGATTAGCTGTAAACGAATTTGTTTGGCATTCGCTGTTTCACTTCCAAGCGTTCCAACTAACTCAATTGTGTCTGTGCCGTCTCAGTCTCTGATTCTGTTTCAGTTTCTCATTTTTGTTTTCAACACTTTTTGTGATAAGTAGAAAAAAAAAAAATAAATAAATAAATAACAAACGAAACTACAACTTGGTGGCAGCACTGGCACCGTGGTGCAAGTCTTAAGTATAATTGAAGATCTCAAATTTGTAAAATTACGCAATAGGCCAAAAAATAAATAATAAACATTTTGTAAACGTAAGTTAGAAAGAGCGGGAAGAGAGGAGAAAGAGAAGAGTTAGAGCGAGAAAGGTTGAGAGTGGACAGCATATAGCAGTAATATAACATTTCCTTTTTGATGTGTGTCTCGATGTGTGTGTAACGTAGTGATACAGTTATCAGATTATAAAGGCAATTTATCTAAGAACAACAAAAATGAAAGTGAAAAAAACGTAAAATAAAAACACAAAAAAAAAAAAGAAAAAACAAAACAGATAAATAAAGAAATCATATTAAGGCATTCCTTTTGTGTATGTTCGATGTCAACTAAATGTCTAAACTAAACAGATCAAGATCAATATATAACATATATATACATATATATAGAATGAATCGATAACCGATAACACGTATGGCTCGCATATACCAAGTATATCGAATGAAAAGTGTCACCTAAGGAAAAGCATGTGGATAGAGACGATACAGATACCGATACCGATAACGATTACGATAACGATAACGATTACGATCAAGCTGATACATATGTCAGCCAAACTGGCAAATACTATAAACAACAAGAAAAAGCAAACTTAAATATAAAAAAAAAATATATTAAAAACAATTTTCTGTGCTTTTGGAATGGGAATTAGAATGGGAAATTCTGTTACGAGCAAACCATTTTATTTGCAGATAATATGCGCGGGTCTAATTTCACTGCTCTCAAGGCTTGCCCCTTCTGTGGTGTTTTCATGCTGGCGCCATCTAGCGCGCTGCTGGCATAACTACTGTTTTCGCTGCCATGCAACAGAGGGCGCCAGTAAATGTCCAGCTAGTAAATGCCGCTGAAATGTCCCTAAAATATCCCTTTTAATGCTACTACAATGTTCGATATTTCCGCCACAGCCCAGCTATCGATAATAGCTAAAAACTAAGCCAAAGACTAACTTAACGCATAAAATAATCAACAGCAACAAAAATTTGGCTAATTATATCGTGGGTCTTATAGTTTTTTTGTTTTTTAATTAAAATGCCCGGCTTCGACAATGTTTACATTTTCCAAAGAGAACGTCACTGACAGCGAGAGTGCGAGCGTGAGAGTATAACAGTCGAGAGCAACGGAATGCGGTGCTGGCTCTGCCTCAGCCGCTGTCGCTGTCGCTGCCGCTGCTGCTGCTRCTGCCAGTGTTGAGCATCGCTCGCTGTGTCTGCTTTATTTGTGCGTGCGCGTTGCCAATAAACGGGCAGAGGCCTCTGCTCCTGGCCACAAAAAGCGCAGCGAATTTCGTTGTTTGTGATAACGAAGCGAAAGAAAAAACATAAATAAAAATAATGTAAATTGACAAACGTTTCCGTTTCCGGTGACTGTGTGCGTGTGTGCGTGCTCGCAAAAGCAGACAATGAAAAGTGTTAATAATAATTGAAAATAGATTTTCATCAACGTATCAATTGATGACTTTGCCAGTGCGCTCTCTCATCGGGAATTCCCTTGCAGCGTCAAGCACAAATTGTTTGTGTTATACACAGGACGTGGCTGGATACAACAACAACGACGGCAACGACGATGACAACGGCAACGGCAACGGCTTGCGCCCACGCACGGCAGCAAGAGAGAGAGCGAGAGTAAGAGTGCTAGAGAGCGCTCAGTTGGGCAGCTCCTGCTTGTGCAGGCACAGTGGTGTTAAGTCCTCAAAGCAACTACGATTTTGTTATTCAACGTGTATTGTTCTGACAATTGCTTTTCTCTTTCACACACTTCTTTGGCTTACAAGGTTGTAGCTCCTTAATGAAACTCTTGAAGTTGTCTTTGCCAATTTACTTATAGCATACTTTTTTGGGCATCGGATTTATTTGTTCGAAATTATAAGCAAATTGAATTTTAAATGCTCTGACTAGCTTTAAATTTACTTTGTTATTTCTTTTTAGATTTTTCGTCAAACATTTCAATTGGCCAAAAATCAGCTACTTTTGGCTAATAGCTATCTCTAAAATAGGTTGAAATTCAACCGTATGCATAATACGGTTAATTAAGCTGTCCGTTCATTAATTTCAATATATTTTGCGAAGCCCTAGACCACTGTTCGCATAGAGAACTTTCAGCACAATCTAGAAACGTAAGCCGCAGCAACAACAACGAAAACAAGCAGGAGTAGCTTGGCGTCAATAAAAGCGGCGCTTTGGTTGCCAACGCCAACGTTAAACTCTCCTGCTTTACTGTTTGGCTGCGTGTGTGTGTGTGTTTTTGTCTCTGCTTTTGTACATGTGTGTGCGTGTGTGTTTGCGCTCTCCGCTCATTACTAACGCAAAATTACACAAAACGTAAAATGTGTGTCGTCGTCGTCGTCGCTGTCGCCATCGTCGCTGCCGCGCTGTCGTCGCCTTCATCGCCGTCTTCGCTGTGTTTCTCATCTTTACAGTTACAGTTCTCGCTGTTGCTTTTCACTGCTGCTGATTGCTGCTATTTAGATGTATTTTTTTCGAGTGAAGACTTAACAAGTTTTGCCATTTTGAAAAATAAAAAGAGAGAAAATAACAACAAATATACAGCTGTGCATGTGTATGCAAATAGTTTGTTTATGTGTGGGTGCGTGTGCGTGTGTTTGCGTGTGCCTCGCTCAATTGCTCTCTGCAATTCGTTTTCATTCACAAGTGCAATGCGAACATCAGCAGYGACAACAACAACAATGGCGCGAGTTAACAAAAGGAGTGAAGCGCGTGCTTAACCTAAAAGTGCATGACAAAAGTTTTCACACACACACACACACGCGCATTCAGAGCGCGCTGCTTGTGGGTGTGTGAGTGTGTGTGTTTGGTTAAACTCAATTCATGCTCTTTGTTTTCTGCTTCCGCTATCCACAGAGAACAACAACAACAACTAATACTATAAACCACAACAATGCATAGTTCCTGCTGAGTAGCTTTTTGTGTGTGCCTGTGTGCGCCTGTGTGTGTGTGTGTGTGTGTGTGTGTGCCACTGTGCCTGTGTGCGTGAGAGAGAGTGTGTGGGCTTATGCAGGCATGTTGCGGCTGCTGCTCAGCAAACAGCGCCAGAGCTGACAAGAAAAGAAAAAAATACAACAACAAACAAAACAAAACACTGCCACCTCGCAACAATACAACTATAACAACGATAGCAACAACAACAACAACTACTTCCACTACAGAAGAGTCGCCAAATTCATCCCCTACTCCTTTGTAGCTAGTAAAAATTGCTTAGGAATTAGAAGAAGCAACTAAAAATAGATAACAAAAGAAAAGTATAAAGAAAGAACAACATCAGCAAGAAATCCCGTTATGGAACGCATGTGGCGCAAAGTGAATCACAGCCTGCGCAACAGCAAATCACAAACGCCGTCGCAGGCAGCACAGTCGGCCAACGCGGCTGCTGGCGCCGCTACCGGCGCTGCCGGCGCAGCTGCCGGCATTATAACGCCACATTCGAGTGACACCATCAGCTCTGCGGGCGGCTTTGGTGATGCGCAGCTCGTGGTCGCTGTTCAAGGTCTGCCCGGCGTTGGCGTCGGCGTGGGCAGCGCTGCCGGCGGCAGCAATGCGACCGGACGCCGTTTGGCCAGCAGCGGCCAGCCGCCATCGAACTGTCACAAATCGCTTAGCCAGCACGTTTTGCAAACGCGCACCGCCTCATCGGAGCGCCGGCGTCGACGTCGACGCAAGAGCCGACCGCGACGCAGCGGCGGCATGGCCAGTGTTACCAGCTGCGTGGGCGATGCTGGCGGTGATAACATGTCGTAAGTAAAGCTCAATTGAACAGCACTACTCCAAGCGAACCATTCTGATTATTTTACGATCTATGTAGGATTATGTGCTGGAGTATTTAATACTATTTGCCATAGCCTTTAGTTGGTCAAGCAATCAATCAAGTGATCAGTCAATGTATCGCTTAGACACTGAAGTGAATTGTCACTCCCACCTAAACCACTCAATCAAACATTCATAGAGTTGGTACATCAATCAATCTAAATAGTTATCAATCAGATAGACAAGCAATCGCTTAATTAGCTTGGCAAGTGCTCAATCAGTCAATCAACCCATCAAACAGGAACTCAGGCAGACAATCTTTACCTGAATTTGCCAGTGGATTATAGAGATTGGAAATAGTGTAATAGGAAGAGGGGAAGCTGGGGCAGTGTGGTCAAACTATTTTCAGTGTAATAATAGAGAGAGGGATTAACGCTATCAGATGTTTTGTAGGACTATCTAACTTGATCTTGCGGGATATCTAATCCATCGAAAATGCGTTTTCTTGAGTGCAATTCAGTAATTAGAGACTCTAAGGGATATAAGAGAGAGTCTAACTAGAGGCATAAAAAAACTTTGGCTAGTAAATACTTTTTCTATAGTACCTTAAAGCTTTTTTAATACTTTATCTACTATATATATTATAGATTTCCTAGCTTCTCTATTAAAATCCTTATACTAATTAGCATTTTAGTCTTAGCTTTAACCTGAACTTTGACATGAGCTCCACCATAAGCTATAACTTATTTTATAGCCCTACGATAGTTTCCAGCTCCAAATTAAAAATATTTGACTTGAACCATAGCTTGCCACTACAATTAACTTTAACTTTAGCATGAGATTTACTATGAACTACAAATTGGTTTATCACCTTGCGATAGTTTCAGATAGTTCCAAATCCGTATTGCTTGCTTAGAACTGGTCATTCAATTTTTAGTCTTAACTTTAACATGCACTTTAGCATGAGGTTAAACTGTGTATTCGCTTGTTGCAGTTCCTCGGGCGGCTTCTACACGCTGAAGGAGCACCCGCACCAGCATCAGCATCAACACTATCGCCATGGCCACGGACTTGGCACAGTCTCCACATCGCAGCGCCTGTTCGCCAGCTCAGCGCCCAGTGGCACCGTCATGATGTATCCAAATGCACAGCGTGCGCCGGTGCTGGCCAATGCCGCGGCAGCTGGCGGTGCAGCAGCAGCAGCAGGAGGAGGAGCAGGAGCTGGCGGAGGAGCAGGAGCAGGAGCACACACAGCTGCTGCTGCAACGCCGCCGGACATCTCGCTGAGGCAGCGGGCGGTCGCTAAGCTGCGCATGTTCAACTTTCACCTTAACTGGGATCTGCACATGACGCACTGCAAGCCCTGCGGGTGAGTTTACGCCGTGCCCCAAAATGTTTCCCATTTGCCATGAAGTTGCAACTTGCCAGTTGCCAGTTGCTAGTTGCCAGTTGCCAGTTGCAAGTTGTAAGCTGCAAGTGGGCAACAACTGCGCTGCCAACACTTGAGCCTTTTCCAGTGGTTTGTGGCTTTTGTTGGGCGTCGCTGAGTTTTTAAGCTCTTTGTTATACCCTGTACATTAAACCAAATGAGTACATGGGGTATGCTAGAGTGAGGTATATTGAACTAAGGATATGAAACCTTTAGTTGAGTACAGTTCTAAAACAATTTTCTCATTTATCGATTAATATCGATCATACATTTCTAATTCCTGGTATTTTCCCAATCACATAACTTAGTTTATTTTGACTAGACAGGCATCATATATATAAATATATGAATTAACTGCGTGCTTAAGGTACTTTCCGTTGGGGTCCATTTCAAGTTTTAACAATTATCGATAAATTTGCAAGATTACTGATATGCCTTATGATAGCAGTTGTTAACTTTCAGGTTTATTTCTATCAAATATCAGTAGTATATGCAACTAAAGAGAATTTTGATTCTTTTATAGATTAAAATTTATCGATTGTTAATCAACTTTATTAGTTGACCTCTGACACTTAAAGAGCTTAGCTTAAATGCTTACCCTTTTAGAGTGCTTTAAGCACATTTGTTGAAAGCTTTTAGATGCTTTTGCTGTATTATTCGAATATAGATAAGTTATCGATAGACATCACTATCATAAAATCAATTTTTGTAAGAATGAAATGAGTGATTAATGAGGTAAGCTTATAGCGCGCTATGGACTCAACTGGGAATAAGAATGTCCTGCTCATTTCCTACCTAGATGGAACTGCATGTCTATTTATACGACTCTGAGCTTTACTCAAGCTGGGCTCAAGTATAGGAAAGCATTCTCAACATGACTTGGTTATAGTTGGCTTTGCTTGTCATCCATTTCAATGCACAGCTAGCCACAGGGTAACCGTAGGTCTATCATCTGTACGACAGCTGAGTAAAGCGTAATGCAAATAGTTTTTTTTTTCGGTCAGGGAGTAACTCCTAGTCGATCATTATTGCTTGCTCGAGTTTGCCCAGTCTGGAGTCGAGTGAGTCGCACAGTCGGTTAGTTGGCTTCATTGAAGTGTTGCGAGGGGTGAGGTTGTGGCTGCGAGGGGCCGGGGCCAGGGGCAGGATGTAGGTGGGCGGGGTCATTTCGTTGAATGAACCCAAATGCAAGTGAAAAACTGGGTCGACGACATTTCCCGTGTTAGCCAACTTTAAATGCTGCGGCTTTAACCCAACAGCAGGTCGACGAGCCACCTCCAGCTCCAGCTCCACCTCCACCTCCACCTCTAACTCAACCTCCACTTCCAGCTCCACCTGCAACTCATTTCTATATATTTTTGTTTTTCGTTTTCAACACGGCCTCCGTCCCAAATGTGTCAAATTTTAATGAAGCGCCCGGCCTAACGAGCTTCTTTGCCAGCTGCTGTTAGCCCCAAAAGCCTTTTTTTTTTTTGGCCAAAACTGAAAGTCGCAGGAGGTAGGAGGTAGCGGCTGGGGGCTGCTTCATGCCTCTGCTGACAAGCAACAGCTATAGCAACAGAGTTAATGGTGTGACACAGGGACTAACTACCTAACTACCTTCGCCTCCTTCTCGAAGGAAAAATAAACAAACTAGCTCAAAGCTAAAAACTTTGGGTATACGATAATTAAATACGGTGCAAGGTGTAAGAGAGGTGCAGAGGTGGATATTGAGGCTACAGTCGCTTTGCAGGCATTCCTAGTGACTTACTTATGTCAAGAAATGCAACAGAAGTAGGCACAAGTTCAACTTGAAATGGAACCAGTACCCAAAAGAAAATTGGGCTAAGGAATCGAAGCTGCTTAAAATTATGATATAATATTATATATATTATTATAGGTAAAGCTGGGTTCTCTTGAGTAAAAGTCATCTCTCGAAAAAAACTAGTTCCATTTAGCTTAAGAGTGAGTTCGATACAGAAAACTAGTTCACTGTAGAGCACTAGGTTAAAGAAAGATTGCTCAGTTAGAGTTTAGAGTTATTTAAAAAAAAGAGCTAGTTCAGAGAAGAAAAGTTTTGGAAGATTTATTGTTTGAGTTGTTAATGAACTAGATCTATTTAGCAACCTCATTTGATCAATAGCCCAAGCAACGATATGTTACAAAACTTACAAATTATAGTTGAAAGCGAACTAGTTCAATGTAATTGAATGTATGAATGATGATAGTATTTGAGGCTGAAGAAATTCTAGTTCCATTCAAATTTATTTTATTGTTTCTAAGTTGTATGAAGCCGGAGCAGGAATTCAGGTTCAAACAGGAATACCTCAAAAACGAATTAGAAACAGATTCAAGTTTGCAAAATGTTAAAATGCAAATTGACAAAAGGACGAACGGATGGAAAGACAAACGGAGGTTAGGTAAGACTTGGGAAGCCGGTCGGAGTGATAGACGGACGGTCACATAAACCTAGCAAAGATGAAAGGGCGCAGGAACGAAAAGCTTTTTCAGGTCTTCAAACAACATTTGAGTTTAGTGTCGCTCAATAAAACATTGGAATTGTTAAACTTAAAAAAATATATCGTTCGATAATGAAAACTACTCGAAGCTCGACAAAAGTTCACGCACAATAGATGAGGAAACGATGGGCTCTTGCGGTTAACCCTTTGAGTTTTGATAACAATAACCGATGACCTCTCAATCAAACTTATCGCTGCTCTATTCTATTCCATTTTGGCTAGGCCTCGCTTGAGTGGAAGTGGAAATATAATAACACGACGGCTGTGCCGCAATCGTCGACGTGAGGACAATGAGCTCTATCGCTCGAACAGCTTCAAGTTTGAGCGCTTCGAGCGCAAGGAGTGCCTCGAGGAGCTCTCCAACACGTTGCAGAAGCAGGTGAGTACAGTTGTGTGCAAGAGGCCAATGAACTAGTCCGGTCTAAACAATTGGAGAACGACAACATAAAATCGAACAACAACAAAATGAGAAAGAGAAACAGAAAGCGAATGCGATTGCGAAAGCGAAAGCGAAAGCGGAACAGACCAAATCTCCCGCTGGGCGTAATTTATGCGTATTTGTTGGACTTACCTTGCCACATGTTGCATGCTGCCGCTGCGAGCCATCCATCTAGCTGGCAATTTTATGCGCATAGATTACAACTAATTGAAGTGTCGAAGAGCTGACCCAACCCTGAGGCCCCGCCCAGCCTCATCTCTAATTAGAGAGCTCTCCTCCCCCCGCACAGTTGGCCAGCTGCAGTTCAATGAAGCAGCTCCAAGAAAAATTGCATTATGTTGAGAGACTTGGGGGAGTCTGGGGGCCTGGGGGCCTGCCTGGCTCTGACTGCGGCTCCGTGCGGAAGGAGGCATCTGTCACAGGTGGCGCTGTCTGCTGAAACTTGTTCAGCCGAAAGTTTCGGCCGGAGGGATGGGAATCTAATTAATGGCGCGCAACAAATTGAATTTTAATTGAGCGTCGAATTTGATTTTGCCCCTCAAGTCCTGCGAGATCCTGGCGGCCATTTGGCTGAAGGTGTCTGTCAGTCGGAATAGGGCAACTGGGAGGGGGAGGGTGGGACGAGATAGGTAAATAGGGTGTGCGATGTGCCACAGCTGATAATCAAGTTAAATACGTTTTTGGGCAATGACTTTAGTGAGTAGAGAAGAGGGGCGGGAGGTAGGGGCGAGAGAGAGACTCTGAAGTGGAAAAAGAGGCAGAGAGTTATAGTTAGAGAACGAGAGATAGAGCTATGTGGGAAAAGATATAGAGTTAAAGAGAGAGAGAAAATGAGAGAGAGAGAGAGACAGAAAAGAGAGAGAGAGAGAAGAAAACTGAAAAAGATAGACAAAATGGAACGAAGAGGAAAGAGAGCATTGCTGGAGAATGGTTGCACAAAGTGAAAGACGTAGACAGGCAGAATCAGAGGAATGGAGAAAAGACAGAAAGAAAACGATAGAGATAGTAGTGAAGAAACGAAGATGAGAGAGAGAAAAGAGAGAGAGAGAGAGAGAGAAAAGAGAGGCTCCGCTCCCTTGCTTTCTGAGTGAAGGCTGCTATAAGGAAATAGCTGAGAGAAAGTGAAGTGAAAGAGAGAGAGAGAGAGAGAGAGAAAAAGGAAAGCAGAGAGAGAGAGATAAGATGAGCTAAAGAGAGATAAGCATATATAGAGAGGCAGTTAGCAGAGTCAGGTGATGAGAAGGGAGAGATAAAAAGGAATACGATTCTGGTCCATATTGAAGATTGCTTTCTCTATCGATAATGTTCGTCCGCGAATGCGGATACTTGGTGGGAAAAAATGAAAAGCGGAAAACAGTTCCATAAGGAAAATCAAAAACCTGGCAGTGTCAATAAAAACTCAAGCAAGTCGGCAGTTTCCCTTAGACCCACTTAGACCCACTTAGAGCCACCAAGACCCACTGAATGCGGCTTGCTCCGTGCTAATCTCATCAAATTTTTAAGCGATTCGCTGCAGTGGCAGACGGTCAGACAGACTGACAGACAGACGCTGGCCCGTATTGACAGCCCTGCTGGCTACTCCCTAATCCCAGGGCCCGGGCTCGGCCTCGACTCGACTCGACTCGACTGACAGACATCCATTTGTTAGACGAAATGTGTTTGAAGTGCTGCGGTTTTCGCTCTCTGTAAAACTTGTGTTTCGTCTCGTGGCAAACGAGGTCTGTCAGCTGTCCGACAGCCACGCTCCGCCTGCCGGCCACCCTCCCAGACTGCCCGCTACATGTGCAACATTTGCACCTTCATCAAGACATTTTTCGTGCCATAAATAAATAAAGCAACAAAATTGTTGCTTCCCCTTCAATTACAGGTGGGAAGCGCGCAAGCTGGCAGAGTTCACAAGTTTCTGATCCAGCGCGGCTGCGTCACATTAGCAGCTTCATCTGCGCTTAGATTTATGTGCTCGGCGGCGCACGGTTGACATAGCACCTGTCTCACCTGAGCTGCAGCTGTCTTGTCCGACCTGCCAGACACTAATCATGCCAAAGTGCCTGCCGCAGACGTGTCTGCCAACTTTTACCTGAGACGCCCGCCCACCTGTCGCTGTCAATTTGATTTCTCAGCCAGCGTAAAAATGCCATAGGAGGAGCAGCAGCAGCAGCAGCAGCAGCCAGGCCAAGACAAATGGCATTGGAATCCACGTTGGCAGCTTAAGTAGTTACTAAAATGCACCAACTCGAGCTTCGCTAACCAAACGATAATGCCACTCCCCCTATTTACCTGCATCCGCCCCAAAAAGTATGCTATGAAAAATGTACATTTCTTTTCGATTTCTTTTCAAGTCATACGCGCGTCTTTATTAGCTTAGATCATTTTTCATTTAGCCCAAAGTCGGCTTTAATCAGTTAGCTGACAGTTACGGCGGCTATAATGGGTCTATATCTAGCTGCATTTAGTAAATATCAATGTGGTATAGCCACATTGCTTAAGCCTTTGAGTTTTTATACTAATTATATATAAAGCACAGTAGACTCTAGCTATAGCGTCGCTTAATGAACTCAATATTTAATGTCGTAATATCCGGAAGTTGCTATAATCAGATATGGTACCATCTGTTTCAACTTTTGGGCACCAGGGAAAACATTGAACTTTCGTCTGAACTATAGCCGGATTTTACTGTAAATATATATATATATATATATACATTCAGTAGAATCCGGTTATAACGACACTCAAGGGACCGTCGTTATACCCGGAAGGCGCTATAACCGTATAAGTTTGCTCATAAAAGTTTGTCTGGGGACCAGAATTTTCGTCGCTATAACCGTACGGACCCTTTT